CCCCCCCCCCCCCCCCCCGATGGATTGGCATGAATGGCCATGGGGGGACCCCCACCCCAGTCACTGACGCTGCTGGGGGCAGGGGCAAGTGCCCCCCCCCAACTCAGGAGGCACCAGTTGTCCATGTTTGAAGACCACTTCCTGATTAGTTATGGTTCCAAACTCAGTGGGACAAGCCCTATTCATAAAATCAACTATTATGAAACATGTATTAAATTAACATTTATATACTGTATATTATACAGGCTTTTTCAGTGTATTGATTATTTCAAATTTTCTCAATCATTCCTCTCAGTAAGTGACCTCTAAACATAGAAAATAAAAACTGCCATTTCCTGGATCAGACCATAGGTCCATCGATGATCTATTGAGGTCCCTTCCGACCCCAACATCTATGAATCTTGCTCAGCCTCAGTGGCAGAGAGTGGAAGCTGAAAGGAAGAGTGAATTGGGAAGGGTTTTTGAACCCAAAAGCTTGCTTAATAATTATTTTCCAGCTATTTGGGTTGGTCTAAGAAAAGATATCGGATTCACCCAAGGAACCTTGTCTGCCTATGTCCTTAGACCAACACGGCTACAACCTACATGCCTGGGTATGACCAGGGTTTTTCCCCTGTTCCTCTCTAACTTGTAGTCTCCTGCATTTAGGGTCTAGAAAGTTTTGATTCAGAGGCTGTACCAATGCACTGATAGCTGCCAATGCGCCTTTCCACCAACAGTTTGTCCAATCCCTTTTTGAATTTGGCTAAACTGTCAGCTTCCACTCCATCTGATGGCAGTGAGTTCCATAATTTAATTATACGCTGTGTGAAAAAGAACTTTTTTTGTTCGTTTTGGTCTTACTACCCAATAGTTTCATTGTGTGACCCCTAGTTCTTGTATTGTGAAAGATAATAAGGAATAAATCCCTATATACTTTCTCTTCACCATTGACTATTTTGTAAACCCTTATCATGGTGCCCCTAAAGCCTCTCTTTTCTAAACTGAATAAACCTAGCCTCTTTAGTCTTTTCTCATATGGAAGTTCCTCCATACCAGAAATCATCCTTGTGGCCCATATCTGCAGAGCCAGCCTTAGAGAAAATGGTGCCCTGAGCAAACTTGTATTTTGGTGCCCGCCCAAAACCCTCCCACAAGTCAGCAGCACTGCTGTAGGCAGAGGCAGGCAGGAGTGCAGGGCTCAGTCTTGCGGGGAGGTGGAGTTGCCCATAATGCCTGGCCCAGCCTGTCCTGAGTAGAGGAGGGCACAGGGATCAACTGGTGTGGGGCACGGTGAGGGTAGAGCGCTGGTGTGTGTGTGTGTGTGTGTGTGTGTGTGTGTGTGTGTGTGTGTGTGTGTGTGTGTGTGTGGCACCCCTGACCACAGCATCCTGGTCGTCCATGTTGCCCACCCCCAAGGCTGGCTCGGCATGTTTGTACCTTCTCTAGTTCTTCTATATCCTTTCTGAGGTGTGGGGACCAAACCTGGGCCCAGTATTCAAGGGATAGGCACGCCAAGGATTTATAAAAGGACACGATACTTTCCATTTTGTTTACAAATGCCTTCTTAATAATCCCTAAAGCAGAATTTTTTTTGGCTTTCTTTCCCTGTAGACCGCAAGGCATTTATCTCCTGTGGAAGGATAAAGTGTGTTGGCTCATCTCTCTTTCTAAAGAAAAAATGGGGGATTGGCTATCACTTAAGGTATATTTTTTGTGTATTTTCCTTCTGGTTTTAAATTGGTATCTCGGTAGCAGCATGGAGTTATCTCAGTCATAGCAAGCAATATCTGGGGATGTAAACAGTAAATGCCTATTGGAAAAATTTAAGAGGAATGATGATAAAAACTCCATATTTATTGATGGCATACTGATAACGTTATTGGCTGACTGATTGAATACCAATATACAGCACCCTTCCCAACAAAGTTTCAGGATGGCTTGTAGTATGAGAACAGAATAACTGAGGATGCAAGCAAACATTCACAGTACCTGATCTATGATCACGCAGCTTACTTTAAGCCATGTGATCATAGCTCTGGCCCAGCTTGTGCTCAAGTTTACTAGTGCTGGGAGCTGCACTGGGAGCCCATTCTAAGTGAGTTGGGGAATGGGGAGAGGCTAGCGAGTCCATGGCAGGGAGTTGGCAGGATTGGGGGTGCTGGTGGATCTGCAGAGAGGTTGGTGCATCCATGCAGGAGGGTAGTAATCCGTTCAGGGTAAAAGGGTCGGGGCTAAAAATAGCTGGGTAGGGCAGGGGGAAGGGGAGGAAGAGAGCAGCCTGAAGGCTGGGGCAAGCAGGTGGGCTTTGCACAAGTGACACGAGTGACAATTTTTGCCCAATCTGACCCCTGAAAACACTCTACAGCCATGAACAAACGTAAGTGCACAGCTGGAGAGCTCTTTAAAAGGGCCCCATCCTGTGCAGCACCTTGATTAACTTGTCCAAAGTGGAGCACCTTCATTAACTTGTGTCTGTGCGCACCGAGAGCAGGGCTCAGCTAACACAGCCCAGCTTGGCTCCCAGTGCTGTTTTCAGAATGGAAGGGGGAGAAGGGAACAGAGGGAGCTTGTTCTGGGGGTTGCCCAGCTGGCTTTGTGGAGTGGAGCATGTGGATTGGAGCTCCCCGATGTTGGGGGCTCCAATCCATGTACCCCCACCCCCCCCCCCCCCCCCCC